GGGGGGGGGGGGGGGGGGGGTCCCCCAGAGTGCTCCATGGTGGACCCAAAAGTGGAACGGAAGTACTTCCGGGTTTACCACCGAGCATGCTGGGGGGCCCCTACGCTCCTGTTGGATGCTCCATCTGCCCCAGCGTCACATTGTTTAGGAGCTGCACCTGGTACTTTGAGGTATGTAGAAAAAACGTTTAAATCTGTGTCTATGTTTGAATCAACAAATCGAAACACTATTTCTGATTTGGGCCGAATCCGAATTGAATATGGCCCATTTCACACACCCCTACCGCATATGGCTCAACACCAACTCAAGAAGAGCAACTAGAGAAACACCAATCAATCACCATCATTCCTACAACCCTCTGTGTTCCCGCTAAGTAAGGGGTGGGCAATTATTTCTGCTGGAGCACAAATTACTAAGTTTTGGCAAGCCCCCTGGTCACCATTTGTGACTGCAATTCCTGCCCCCTAACCCTTGACCTTTGCCACCAGAAGTCCCTCCCCTTGCCCCCAGAAGTACTCCTTTCAGCAAGGGGTTTTGTCATCTCAGAACCAGAAAAATACCAAGTTATATTCTAAAGGGCAAACATCTAAAACATTCATTAATCTGATTTCAAAAAATATTTTTGTCTTGGTTTACGTGTGTCCACGTAGTGTACATAGAGGTGAGTGTATGTAATAGCTTAAAATTAAGTCTTACTCTTACATATTGTGTGGGGTGTGAGGGAGGGTGTGGGTGTGTTTGTGGGGGGTGAATATGGGGAGTGTGGGCGTGGGGTGAGGGAGCATGTTGGGTTTATGTGTGGATATAGGTGTGGGTGGGTATGGGGTTGGTGGGGGTTGTGTGGGGGAGGGTGGCTGGGGTGTGGGGGTGGGATCTGTGTGTGATGCAGTGCAAGGGGGGTGTGGGTGCATGTGTATGGTGAGGTGTGCATGTGGGACTCACCCTACAAACATACACACACCACACACACGCACCCTCCCTTCCTATACCCTCCTGCCCCCCAAGGTACCAGTGCATGCTCCCTGGTCCAGCAATAAAACCAGGAGCCATGTGGTGCTACAGCAGTGCAGGGGCAGCAAGCAGGAAAATGGCTGGGGTGGGGCAGGGCTGGGTTGCTGCATCCTGTAGGTTCTCCCTGGGTTTTATTGCCCCTGGCTTCTGTCAGGCAACCAGGAACAGATAAATATTAATTTTCTAGATTTTGTAATGACCCTGAAGGCCATATTTTGCCTGCCGCTGCTCTAAGTGAAGACCAAGCTCAGTTCTACCCTTGTTGAGCTTGTAGGGTAAGGTAGCATGGCAATGAGAAAATCTCATGCTCTTTGCAAAAGCTCTTATACCTAATCTGTACAAAACCATGAAAGATAGGAGGAGATCTTTGAAGAATTGAATTTGTTAATACCTGAAATGTTCTCATGTGGAATTTCTAGTTTAACTAAAAAACCGCATGCAACTCCAAATAATTTTAGCAAACTATTTATTAAACTAACTAATGCAGATTGAAACAAGAAATGTTACTGAACTGCATTTCAAAATTAAAATGTCATTCACCAGAGGCCAGGTATTGGAAAGCTTCACTAATGGTCTAGGTATAGAAGGTATTTAATTCCTTGGGGAAAAGACTTACAAAGAAACGTGTTATTCTCTGAAATAGCAAGAAAAATATTGGTAACAATTTTACTGCATGCAGTGATTCTAATTATAAGCATGTTAGATTGTGATCAGCATGCAACTGGATGCTGTAGATTCTGGTGAATATATAAGGCAAGTTGAGCAAACTTACTTGGTGAAGAAGCTGTGCTGCTGTGGTCCCTCCACTTATGTTAAAAACAGTAAAAGGCTCTGGGCCTAGAATCCCATGAATTGTAACCTTGTATGTCATTGAAGCTCTCCTCTCTTCTGTGTCAAACAGCTGTTCAAAAGACATTTTGACCAATTTTATTCAATTGTTTTTAAAATACTGGATTATGCAGACAATGAAAACCCAGTCTATAGAAGAACCTGCACAGGGAGCTTTCTGATTAGTACAAGACTCCTAATCTATGCATTAAAAGAACCTGCAAACTGGGGCTGGAAGTTGAAAACAGAAAAAGTTGAATAGGAAATAAGGCAAATATGTTTAACAGTGGCGGTAGCTAGACAGTGGAAGAGATTCCCCAGGGATTTGGTAGATTTTTCCATTACTTGATGTGTGTTTTCTGGCTGAATCCAGAATTTACTGGATGAAGTTGTATTGGTTTAAGCTGCAGACCATATTCCCTGTTTAATGTTTGCTGCCTGTCAGATATGCATTACTTAACAAACTGAAGATGTTAGGCAGCAGCAAACAGATTAATAAGCATTTTAAAATAAATACAAATCAATTTAGAAATCCAGTGCTCCAGCCTGCCATATATTAACTGTATCACAGCTTGTACCCAGTTCAGAAACAAGTTCTGTCACAGTGGTGGAATCAGAAGACAGAGTAGTGGGGGCCACCCTTTTTGGTAGGCGTATCACAAGTTAAGCCCTGTGTCTTCCCCAAATGCAACTTAGATCCTGGATCTGTTGCTCTGCCTGCCCCACTCCCTGATCTGCCATGTGCCCCATACATAGGCTGCGCATGCTACTTGTGGCACATGTGCCCTAGCCTGGTCACCCCTCACTTAAATCACTTCTGGTCTCTAATAAACTGCTTCTAATACATTTGTGAGAAAACAGGCAGACACTGGATAACCTAGTCAGGATAGAACGCAATCAGATTTAAGGATCAAACTAAGTTTTACCTGTAATACCACTTTTAAGTTACAACTAGTGAAGCATATAGTATAAGGAGCAATTGCTAGATATGCACTAAGGTCAAGATTTTTTTTTGGTCAATTTAGGCACTTAGGCTGCAAATAGACACACTTTCAAAAGCATTTAGGCACGTAAATCCTATGGAATCAGTGGGGATTAGACACGTAGGACAGAATTTTCCTGCAAAATGTGTAAGTGATGCAGGGGTTTTTTTAGACTCAAAGTCTCCCAGCAGCCACACACCATAGCCTGAACTGCATGTACATAGCTAAATGTCTTCTGCAACTGCAATCCTGCCCTATACAACTAAATGAGTCCCTGCTGTGTGCTTGGAAGTGATTCAGTACTGTACCCAAGACACCCAAGTTTCTGCTACTGAAGGTAAACAAAAATGACAGCCATTCACTAGTTGACAGATGGGCATCTGTGTATCCCACCTTTTGCCCAGCAACCTAGTAGTTAGAGCACCCACCCAGGACAAAGCCAATCTGGGAAAGCCAGGTTCTAGCTTCACCTGCACTTGTGGGTATTTGACTTCCGATTGCCCACACTAAAAAATAGCCTAATCACCAGGCCACACTCGACAGCATGCCTGTGGTGAGGCTAAGAGGGAACAGAAGGTGAATACATTATATAGCCTAGGCATGTGACTCAGGGAGCCAGCTTCTCACATGAACCTTTGCTTCCATGATTGTACATTTTCCATTATGGTGTTGCTGGGCAAGCATATATGGAACTGGGGCATAGAGCAACCTTCACATGCTTGAACTTCCCCCTTCTCAAGCTGATGGAGGTGGGCAAACCAAGGACTGGGGAACTATTTGTTTTCAGATCACCTTGGGCCCTCCAGGCTAGAGTCTCATCCCACTTGCACTGAAGTAACTCCACTGGGCTAGCACCTGCTCTCATGACTGAAATACAAGTTAGACCTTGTACCTACAGTCATGCATATGCTGGCATGACTGTAGGTACCAGTGGCTGTGTTGCATTTGGCATTAAGGAGTCGTTGGGTAAAAATGCATAACCAGCCTTGCAAACAGGCTAGAACCCTCACCTCCTTCCCCTTCCAGGGCAAGGCCCTTTAAGTTAGGCTCCTGCTTGCATGCTTACTGTCTGGATTCATGACTCCTGCTCTTGGCTGCCCAGTGGACCAGCTTCAGTTGAAACAACTGTCTCTACCCACAAGTTGGAAGTTTGGGCATTATGCTAGGATATCAGAAAGGTGGGTGCAAAGACATTTGCCCTGGGCAAGTGTACTAACTGCTAGGCAATGTGCAGGATGAGCCTTATGTTGGCATCTTTGACATATAGCTGCCCGCCCAAATAATACAAAGTCCTGCTAAGATACGTATGCTTTATGCAATCAGAGAAGTAGGATTCTGAGCAGTTGGACACTTTGTTTTAGCACAAGCTAATATTCCCCATTGGCATAAATGGAGCAGCACATGAATACCTGAGGATCTGTCTCTTGGAGGTTATGGTGGGAGGGTGTTGAAGTGCTACCCATTGAAATGAATGACAGAACTGGGCACCTGACCCCCATGGGGCGGGTAAAGTAGACTTTACTTCCAGGGGTGCACAAACTATGTACTTTTAGTACCTATTTAAAAGTAGTAGAGAACTACAAAAGTAGATAGGGGTCATTGCATCAGGACCTTATCAGGCCTTGTACCTCGTGGTTGAAATAATAGGATTTAACCCTTAGGTGTTTCTGGAAAGCCCATCAAATGCCCATTTCCAATTTTAGTTGCCTAAACAATAGTTCTAATTGTCCACATACCATCATAAACAATTACTCATTAGGAATACATGAACAAATACACCTGACATCTACAAAAGATAAATTACCAAGGAGGCAGGCATAGCATTTCCAGAGGAATGTTCTTCCATCCTCCGACTGCTTACAAACAAACTTGAGATTTCTAAGGCTTCATTATGCAGGTTTCGCAGCTGAACATGTCTATATCCTGAAGAATATGCAATTGGGACAGCAACAAACACTGGTCAACCTTACTGTATTAGAGCAGGATACATGATTAGTGAGCTGAAAACATGAATGTTCAAGCATTTGGTATTGGAGCTTTATCATAACTCTCACAGTAATCTGCCCTGTGCCTGCTGGGAAGGGCAGCCTATCGATCAAATAGTGCTGCATTACAATTCCCATGGGATGCCCATCAGGCAGTGGTGAGGCACTGAAACACCCTTTTCACCTGTCAGTCCTTGTGGTGTGTTCAAAATACATTCACACACACAGGCACAAAATGCACTACAGCTGTAGACAGGACTGTAGTGTTTACTTTGATCCAGGGCGATGGATGAATGTCCCTAGGCATGTAAAGATTGCTTTGAACTGCTTGAGAGTTATGTTGCATCACTAATCAATTTAAATGCATTTTAAAATATTTGCTTCTGTAAAGGAAGTCCTGTGTGACATGAAATTAGTGTGGCAGCCTCAGCACCTTCCCTTTCATCCTCCTTTCAAGCACACCTATGGAACACAGAACACAGCAAGGCCATCCCTCTGCCTTGGTTGATCCTATTTGCTGCAGCAGCCCCTTGGGACAATGGGAAGCCTGCATACATGTGTATGACCCAGCTGGCTGCAGCACTGAACATGATCTGTGCTGAGCACCTGCAGCTTGCTCAACATCTGGTCACTGTGTACAAAGTGGGTGCAAAGTGTATTACCTCTTTTTAGAGCCTTGAGCGGAATGATTCTTTGAGCAGTTACAGCTGAGCTATTGTTTTCCACAACTGCAAATCGAAGAAGGACTAGATCTTCGAAGTGAACTCGGAAGAGAAACTGTTCATTCCACATAGGGTTGAGAGTATTACGATGAATGGGTTTAGTGCGGAAATGGCAGCTATCCAAAGGCATCCCAAGTACATCAACTTCAATGCAGGGACTTCCTGTACTGTTGCTTGGACAAACATTCTGTCCAGACACAATCTGCAGCCAGGAAGTACACAAAGTAACCACTGAGTGGGGTCTTTTTTATGTTACATTTTCATATGAAAGGGATAACCAGCTAGTGTGTGACACACTGAGCTACCTGCAACACTGCTGATGCTCTCTAAGTGCCAAAACAATGTTAGAAGCAGAAAATCTTAACCCCAGTAGAGTTGCTGGGGTACCCTTCCTCTCTGAAAAATATACCATGAATCAGGCATGGTACTGTGCAAAGTAAATGAAATTTGATCCAGAAAGAATGAACGTGTAGTCTAGAAAAATAGGATCAAATTTTCCTCTCATTTATTCCAGGATAATGCCACCACTTTCAACAATATTGCTCTGATGTAAATGGTGTCCTAGGGGTCTCCTATGCTTTTGTGAAACATTCCAACAAAGGCATTATGTTCAGAACAGTTTCTGGCATAGCAGCTGCTAAATAGTACTGCCCAATTCTGGTTTTTTTTTAAAATTATTTAGGTAATGGGTTGGTGGGGTTGGGTTGTTCATTTACTTCCATTTTCTCCCACTGCTCTGTACAAATATGTATAAAGTCTTTTCAGTATAGGGGAAACAAAACCCTGAAAATACCTAAGTACCTGTGTAACTTTAAGGGATAGTCCCACTCCAAATGCTTGCAGGTTGGGGCCCCAATTGATGACAGCATAAGGGAAACAGTGGGAAAACTAACATTCCCACCCTAATTATGTTGATCATAATTATGACAAATAACTGTTATGGGTACACTAAGTATGGTGGTCAAGTTGGCAGCCTCCCTTTAAAGCTGTAGTTACACAATGCCTAATTTCTATATTGGACTTTTAAAAATTTCTTTAAAAGAACTTACTGTTAAAGCGTAGATTGCTGGCTCCACATTATCCAGATCACGTTCTAAAGGACAAAACTGCTGGTACATTGAACAGTTCTTATCCCATAGAACAGGAGCTTTCAAAACATATCCGCAGCCACCATTAGCCTCAAACATTGCTGCATTAAGTTGCAGAGGGAGATCTGCAAAAGGAAAGCAGCCAAAATTGAACAGTAAAGTCCAGTGGAAAGCTAATAAAATTACTATTTTAAACATTTTTCAATTCTGCAATTACTTGCTTAGCTGTTTTTGTGCATTTTCTAGTGTTTGCCTTATTCGGGACCTTGCCACACCTATTCACAGTATTTAGAAAGTTCTCTGAGATTTGAACTAAATGCCAGCTGAGAGGGGGTGTGGGTAGCAAGGGCCCCCAACACTCCATGGGATTCTGGGGTATAGGTTGTAGCCGTGTTGGTCTAAGGACATAGGCAGACAAGGTTTTCTTTGGGTAAATCTGATATCTTTTATTAGACCAACTCAAATAGTTGAAAAAATTCTTCTTAGCAAGCTTTCTGGTATAAATACCATCAGGCTTAGGAAGCATCTGCAGTTAGAGCACATACCAGCTGTGGATGCTTCCTCAGCCTGATAAACAGTATTTATACCCAAAAGCTTGCTAAGAATTTTTCCAACTACTTAAGTTGGTCTAATAAAAGGTATCAGATTTACCCAAAAAACCTTGTCTGTCTATGGGATTCTGACATTCCATGTCCAGTCTCTTCTTCTTCCTCTCTCCCCATCTCAGTGAAGGGGTGTGTGTGGCTCTGACAATGGCCTTCGAGGCAGCAGGTGACAAGCCCAGCTCTGGGGCTGGTACTGCTGCAGGTTCCAACAGGGACCTGATTGTGCCTGGGACTTGAAGTGGGCCTTGAAAGCTGCACAGCTTGCAGGCTTGCCTGCCTGTTCTCCCTGCTTTCTACCTGCAGCCCTAACCAAAAGGGAAACACTTCAAAGTATTTCAGTATACCTTATTATATTAAGGGGTAGTATTAGCCAGCGGGCCAGGCCCGTGGAAGCATTTCAAAGGTGTCTAAAACCTTTTGTCATATCTGTCCATACTCCTGAAGTCCTCTTTTACATAAGGATAGATTGTCATTAGCCTTACCATGATTGCACTCAGGAATAAAAGAAGGTAAGTTCCCTTACAACCCTTCTACTGACCATGAGTTTTACACAGATCACTGGTCTGCACACTGAGCACTCTGTAGTATCTGTTCACTCCTGCAGACAAGTACACAAAGGGTACAACTACACATGCAATTAATGCTATATGGGTTTACTGTGCATGAATTTACTGTACAGTAAACCAGCCCTGGGTAGGCATTTAGATGTGTGCTACTGCGCAGTGACTATGGCGTGGTTAATTTACTACCAGCATTTGCAGCCTTCGACTACCTGAAGGGTGGTTCCAAGAGGATAGTGCTAAATTGTTCTCAGTGGTGGCAGCTGACAGAACAAGGAGCAACAGTCTCAAGTTGCAACAAGAGACGTTTAGGTTAGATATTAGGAAGAATTTTCTTGCTAGAAGGGTAGTAAAACACTGAGACAAGTTACCCAGAGAGGTTATGGAATCACCATCCTTCTTTCAAGGTTTTTAAGACCTGGCTAGATGAAGCCTTGGTTGGGATGATCTAGTTGGGAACGGTCCTGCTTTGAGCAGGTGGTTGGACTAGATGACCTGCTGAAGTCGCTGCCAACCCTCATTTTCTATGATTCTTGCACACCTGTACAGTCCTTTTTGTGCCAGGAGAAAGGCTGTTCTCTCAGCACATACTGAACATCTGTACGTGGCCAGAGACACGTAATAACTGCCCAAGTGTACATATTAACCCCATGGTAAATGGAAAATAAGCTGTGGTAACTTACCCTTCTTTCATTGAGGGCTAAGCTATATGGCATAGCTTCCACTTACCATAGGTAGGAGGATAAATACAGGCAGTTCCCATGGGGCAGCTGATGCGTAGTAGGGCTGTGCGAAGCTTCAGTCCCTGATTCGATTCGGCTCAATTCGGTGGCCGAATCTCTGAATCTGAATCAAATCAGAGGACCCTTTAATCTCTGCAAATCAAATCAGAACTCTCTGAATCGATTCAGAGAGATTCGGAAAGATGCGGGAATTCGGACATAGACGCAGCTTTAAATGTTTTTTTAATACATACCTCCAGGTAGCAGGCGGCTCGTGAGTGCTGCAGTGCTGGGGCACATGGAGTGTCCCATAGAAGCATGGGGGACTCCCCAGCACGCTCGGCAGCAGACCCTGAAGTGGACCAGAAGCACTTCCAGTCCACCGAGGACCGCACTGGGCCCCCTCCCTGCACCCTCCCTCAGCACAGCAACTGGTGCCTCCTGGGTTTGGGGGGGAACCCAGGGTCACCCCACAGCTGATCACCGAGCATGTGGAAGTCCCCCCACATGCCTGTGGGACGTTCCATGTGCCCCAGCATCGCAGCGTTCACAAGCTGCGCTGGTTCCTGGAGATATGTAGAAGAAACTTTTAAAGCGGTGTCTGTGTCCGAATCACTGATTCCCCAAACCAGCACTGAATCTTCAGATTTGGATTCAGCCTAATTGAATCAGGGACAGTGATCTGAATCAACAAATCAAATCACTGTCCCTGATTGGGGTCAAATCCGAATCAAAGTCAATTAGGGCCTGCTTCGCACATCCCTAATGCCTAGTAAAATTCCTGCCTCTTTATCTTACAATTAATTATTCTGTGTCCCTAGTCTTATGCAACTCCTCTTACGCGGGTGTCCTTTATATAGTATCATGCACATATATATTTACTCAAACCTTCAATTCTGTCAAACCACAATATAGGTTACAAATGTGTATTTTTTCTGTTTATAACTGGCTGTATTGCAAGTGTTGTATCTCTCCCTATAAATCTATGAACACAGACAATCATAGTAAGTAAAGGAGCATGGTAAATACAAATCCATAATTAAGGGAGGACTTATAATGGTTTTTAATGGTTATTAATAATGGTTTTATATATAATGGTTATATACACTAGTTATATGATAACTATAACAATGGTTTTATATACACACACACACCCTGTTATTAGTAACCATTAAAAACATTAATAACCATTATAAGTTATGCAAAACAAGTCAGTATACATGAAAAATTACTCTACCCATACCATCTGTTTGGTAGTTAAGTGCCACTAGTTGTATTCCATGGAGCCAGAAGATAAGAGGATGCAGATTTGATGAGTCAATGCGTGTGGCAGCAGGGTATGTTCTCAACAGCTGAAAGGCAGTGTGCTGAATCAGTTTCTGAGAATACCGTCTGCACAGCCGTTTGGCAGCATTCTCATTCAATGAGGAGATATGATAACACTTAGGTGTCCTTATGATTGCACTGAGAGAAGTTGTAGGGTTGAATGAAGGGGAACAAGGTTCTTCCCAGGTCTGCCGCACAACATCAAAAGGACCTGAAAAATAAACATTACATTCAAATTACAGCTGTAGATTCAAAGTCCCCAAAAACCAATGTATGTGTATATTTTGGACAGGGTAAAAATAAATGATCTCTGAAACCACATGGTTCGAATATGTATCATATTACTTACACAGTAAAAGAAGTAATGAGAGAGAACACAGGGCACCTATGTATGAGCACAGAGGCTGCTCTGATGTGTTGGAATTCCAGTGCATCATAGTAGATTCAATTAAGCTTTTGTTCAAGCACCCCCACTGCCATTTTTAAGCTCAGGGATGCTGATATAGGAGACGCAGTGATGCTTTAATTAAAGCAGCTCTCGGAGCTGCTTTAATCAAAGTGCTGCCCCCTGCCCTCAACCAAGCATGTGTAAAAGTACCCATAACAATTAAATACTAAGACTGAAGACAGGTGTAACTTTTTAATCATTTTAAAAGGAGAGGGGGAGTTGCCAATCAGGGTGCACACCAGCAATTATGTTATTATGTTGGCATGTTCCTATAGTGATACTATAGTGAGGCAACTGGTATAAATTTTACCCTGGATGAAACAGGGTTAATGTTCCAATGGCTTTGCTACATTTGTATCGCTATATAAGTAAGTAGATGTAGCAGTTTATACCAGTATCATTTGATACTTATACAAATTGTTATACCTGTCTCTACCCTAAATGATATTGTGACCAGGCAGATATTAGTAGTTATTTTATTTAAGATATATTTGAATATCAATCACTTAGATGAATGAAACAACATATTTAATGTGATAATAGAGAATGGCTGAGCAGTTTAAAATGAGTCTCGTTTCCTAATCCACTGCTAGGAAACTTTACAATACTGTGAGTTACTTACAATACAGTTATTAGTTAAAAGGAAAAAAATGTTAACTATTTTTAAGGATATTATGCTACTATGCTTTTTTTCAAAACCTTAATATGTTTTCAGTAAAAGATGAAAGGTCAAATATAATTGGCTGATTTATCACCTTTCCAGAGTGCATGTAGTCAGCATAGGTGCCAAGAGCTAAACCTATATATGGTATTAAATAGGATAAGTTCCTCAAACCTAAATGTAGATCCTGGCAAGGGGTGGTATCTCTCGTCTCACATTCACTCTGGAAGCCCACTTTTAGAGAACTCAAAGGTCACCAGTGTAGAAGCTGGGGAGTTTAGATGCTCCATGGTTAGGCAACATCTGAGCAGAGGTTTCATGGTCATAACTTTTGGCTTGGACAGAATTTAATTCTCTGTTCAAATCTAGTTCCATAGGCCACTTTTACCTTTGAAAATGTCCCATATAATTTAAAGTGAGGTATCAAAAGTCAGCCCACAGTCCATATCCAACCCTCAAAGCCCTATCATTTCGCCTACCCTTCTGTCTGCAGAACATGGACTGGATCTGGAGCAAGTGGTAGGGGGCTGGATCTGGTGTACGTGCTGCACGCAGTACCTGGTGTGGAGACAGATCTAGGGCACATGCCTGCACTTAGCACAGGGCCAGATCTGGTGCTTGTGCTATACACAGCACCTGACATGGGGCTGTATCCAGCATGTGAGCCAGTATCTGGTATGGGGCTGGATTTGGTGCACACCCTGCACACAGCACCTACACAGGGCCAGCCCCATGCATCAGATCGAGCACGTGGGGTCAGTCTGTGGGTACAATCTGGCCTACAAACAGGCACCATGCTACTCATCTGGCCAGTGGGGCCAGATGAGTTTGACACTCCTGCTTTAAGGTATAAACTTGATGCTAATGTAGGTCTTTATAGTATAGTAGTGTTACTTGAAATATGTTTTAGTTTTCTGTCATTTGAATTAGCAATTAATCAATCAATCAATTAATTAATTAATTTGCAAATTAATCATAATTAATATCCCATTACTTGACAATCAGTATTTCATTTATACTGGAATGGTTGCCTACTAATGAAAAATGATTCCAGAGTATGGAAGCAGCATACAGAAGCAGATAGTGGTAGATCTTTAACTGTTTGGCCTGGTAAACGTGCTGGACTACAGAGTCATTCCTCATGCCCAGTGAAAGAAGATGCTGAATTTACCTTTTCCAGATGCTTTGGCAAGTGTTGCTGACTCTCCAGGGCTCAGCCTGCCAGGGTTGTTTCCAAAAATGGACTTCCTGCTTTTTCTTTCCTTTCCCCTGCTAGAGCCAGATGGGTTTAGAGTTGACAGGCCTGTTCCCAGAAAGTAAAACAACTGAGTCAAAAAACATGACCAAGAGGGCATGACATTTTCCATAATTTTTCACACTATTTTTGAAGCACTAATACTCCTGTAGTGCATAGTGTACTAGCAAATTATTCCCACTAATGGAATACACATAACCTATAGCATAAAGAAGAGATTAGGATGCAGCAGAGACAAAATTTATGATACAACTTACCTAAGATTTATCCTTGGATATACAGCAGGAAATTAGTATTTGTCTCCTATTACCAAACAGCCCCAATCAACATCAAGACAAATGATATAATAACAGTCTCAATAAATCCAGACCTAAAACATATTACCTACATAACTAATCGATTATACTGGGAAATTAAGACATAAAGGTACAGGATATCCTGGGACACCTGACATAATGTCGCTATGTGTTCAAGTGAACCCAACAGCAAGACTTCATAATAACCCTAAAGGACAATCCCAAAGCACTGCAGGCTAATTTACTAGTTTACCCAAATTCTTTTCCATATCTATGTCCTATTATTAAAAATTGATCTTTATAATTTCCATTTCAATATTGGAAAACCCACATGTGCCTACTCTATTAACTGTTTAATGCCTGATGTGTTTTGTGATGCTCTAAAAATACTCATACATGTATATTCAGAGAAAATAACCATTAAAAATCTTAATCTAAACTCAGCTGAAAGCAATGGATTCAATTGCCACTGATTTAAATTCCTTTCTATTGACCCAAACTGGTTTTGGTTCAATATAAATATAAAAAAGTGTCATGAAATTCTTTTGACATCAGTATAGTACATAAAAGTGATGTGAGGGATGTTCTTAGAACCAAGATACAGTCCTAATTTACAATTTTCCTTTTTGTTATAAATTTGAAAGAAACATCTACAAAAATGTAACTTAAGAATTTAAAATAAATTGGAAAAATCTACTGAAATTAGTTGGACTACTATGCAGAAAAAAGCAACATATAGGGCACGTCTACATGTCGCCCTACAGTCACAGAGCAACATGCAACATTGCCAGACTGTGTGCTACAGTGATGTAGTGATCATGTGGGTCTACATGTGATTGGCAGCCACATCACCGTGGTGGCACGCTCCCCTGATATAGCATGCCACTACGGTGACGTAGTGGTGAAATCCAACCATAAGCCATGTGCACAGCACAGTAACTGCCCATGCTGTGCCAATGCTTTAGTACTTCCAAAAGGAAGTGCTAAAAAACAGTGCTGTAGCAACGTTGCCATACAACAATGTGTAGACACACCCATAAAGGACCAGAAAGAATGCAAGTAAAAAGTAGCATTTTTTTACTCCTTTTACACCATATCCTTTTAATATCGTGGTTGGCAACTCTGTTCTGCAGTGAAAAGAGCCACCCCCATCTGCTCACTGGACCTGTCATCTCATGGGCCCAAACTCAAGATGTTACAGAAAGATTGCAGAGACACATCTGGGCCTGGAACTACTAACTCAGGCTGCTCATCTCTGTTGGCTCTAATGATACTGTCAGGGGGACCTGATCAAATCAAAACTGATTACAAGGCTCTGGGCATGAGGGTGGAATAGTCTCCCACAATTCTGTCTACCTGAACCCTGGATTAGTGCTCTAACCAGGGGTTAGAGTAAAAAGGGATAAAAAGTAAAAGAAGATAGAAGTAAAAAAGTAAAAGTAGTAAATGAAGAAAGACCTTCATTTTCATTATTTAAACAGGACCAGTCCCTCCACAGTTTCTGCAAGAAGAGCTTACCTGCTTTTATGCAGGAGAAGGCTCAGGACTGCCAGTCCCAAATGGAGAGAAGCCCTACACTTCTCAGGGAGATAGGTGCTCACCCCCTTTATCTCTCATCAACACTTCTTACTGCATAGTTCGGGCAGCTCCTTACTCAACACACCATCTTACGTGAATTCCATTCTTAGGTGCCTAACTCTCCTTGGCATGCATTTTGCAGTTGTAAATTCCACTTGGAAACAGAGTGCCTGTCCCCCTGTCTTAATTTATCCACAGGCTTCCACAGAGAAGGACAACACTGATACCTGATCTTTCAGGTATCAGTGTTGTATTAAGATGAAGTGACCCATGATTTTATTAACAGCCAGTTCAGAACTTCCCTGGTTCATCTGGAGGTGCAATGTAATGTAACAAACATAGAACTGGATGAGCACCCTGAGAAATAGGCCAAGTTTCCTGTAACTGTAGGAAACCATTTATATAATCCCTTTTGTAGAATGATCAAGGTCCATCTTAAAACTAATTAGGGTTTTTGCCCCCACTACTCCATTAGGAAAGCTACTTTAAAAACTTACTCTTCTGCTAGGGAACTTCTAATATTTAGCCTGTATTTATTCATAGCTAGTTTATACCCATTTGTCTTTAAGCCACCGCTAAAACATGCCCTTCTGTTAAAGTAGTTCTGTTCTTTCCCTCACTCATGTTTACCCCCTTAATATGTTTATAGTAAGATTTGGAAAAAAATCTACAAAAATGTATCTCCTTTCAGTTTTCAAGTAACTAAGCTCTTTTAGTGTCATCTCGTAAGATAGGCTTTCCATTTTCCTGATCATCTTTCCTCACAGTCCTCCCCTGCTGGTTATTTGACTGAATTTTTCTTCAAAAGGGTTGACCAGAATTATAAACACTAATCCCGATGAGGGCTTACAATGGCATTAATACTTCCCTGTTTCTACTGGAAATACCTTGCCCAACACATCCTAGGATCATATTGGCCATTTTCATGGCTGCATGACGCTGAGGGCTCATAGTCACCCTGTCCTCAGCTAATTTACTTCAGTCTTTCTCCTCTCCTATAGTTAAGGGTGAAGGTTTGACGTAGAGATTTTAGGGACTCCTTTGAATAAGAATTGTCTGTAAAAGGAGGGGACTGGACTTCATGGCTGAGGAAGCACCTTCCAATCCAGTTTTACGTGTTAATGGTTCCACATTCTTGAGCTTTCTATTTATAACAGAAATTCTTGTTAGTCCCTAAGTACATGACCTTGCCCTTGTTAAGTTTACTTCTTACTATTGATGTGTCCTATAAATGAGTTAAGGGACATCTTAGTGAAGGCAGAAAGCAGAATGATAAAGTGTCCAGAGAAAGGTTGATATAATGGAGACCTATTACTACAATGACAGATAAATAGCCAGTCAATGAGTATTAGAAGTAGCCAGCCAAGCAGAAAGGATTAATACTTCCTAAATGATTAATAAATGAAAGTTTTATAGAGAGGTTGATAAACCCAAAGGGCACATCCAGACGTGCATGGACGTTTGGTTCCCTGGGGACAAGCAGCAGCGGTGCACCTTGTGCCGCTGCTACTTGTCCTTGGGGAACGCCTGTGCCATACATGCTTTGGTGCATGGCAGATTGGCCTGGGTGGGGTAGGGGAAGCTGGGGCCAGCACTGGGCTGGTCCTAGCAGCCTTACCTGTGGTCCTGGGGGCCTCCCAGGGCTGTAGCTGTGGCGATTCTGCCACGTGGAGCCTGGCTGGCAGTGGAGCGCGGCTCCGCTTTTCAGCAGCACGCACTGACTGAGTGTGCATGGCTCCATTTTATTTTCTGCAGGTTTTTTTGACCCTTGGATATCTGGGGTGCAGTGCATGCTCGGACAGTGTGGCCTTATAGCATGGAGAAATGTGTTTGCAGCACCACGTACCGCAAGACCATGCTCATCTGGACACACCCAAAGAGTCTAAAACAGTAGGCAAGCTTTTCAATTGATAAGCCCGATCTATCCAGCTTATGTCCATGGTGGGCTCGTGCTCCTGATCTGGGCCTCTGCCACCAGTGTCACTTTTCCCCACTGCCCACCCACCCAGCTGCAATGCAGCAAGGCACAGATAAAGCTCCCCTAGTGCTGCAGGCTAGATCCAGTAGCTCTGCAGGTCTTCAGGCCATATACTGCTGATGCCTGTCATAGACAGTTAACAGAAATAACAGTTCATCAACATGGAGACAAGTACAGATTTAGAGAGAGAAAGGAATGAGTTGCAGCTTCTGAACATTCAAGGGCAAACAGGGAACTGGCCTCATAAACAGTCAAATCAAGGCAAACAAGACATTTCACCTGAGAATTACAGGTGATTGACAGCACATGCAGCATGCCTGTCCATCCTGGGACTAGGAATGAGAGAAAAGTTTGCAAAGTGCACACATTACTTCTTAAAAATTCCAGGCCTGTACCTGTACTCCAGTTTCATGCCAATGCAATTTCACTGATACCACTAGAGCAGTGGTTCCCAAATTTTTGGACTCAAGGCACTGCTCATTAGACTCAAAGCACCCCTTAGAAAATGCTAGCTCTGAAGTTTTACTAATATCTTGACCACTGAAAAATAATAGAGCAGATTTTCTGTAGCAAAGAATTCAGAAAGACCACAATAGGTCAGAATATTTTTGACACTGTGGATTCCTATTTGAAATCTCTTAGTTTATTTTGTGAATCATGTGTAGGTGTTCTCACTGGAGAAAAGTATTTGGCATGCAAGATCTATTTCAAAATAGTTGGGTGGAGCCAGTCATTGAGAAAATAGGATAGTTCTGCTCTTACTAGAAGAACAAGAGAGCAAACTGAGCTCTAACCATATGCAATAGCTCAGGAGTGAGCTAAGCCAGGAAAAGTGGGGCTCCCTCAGCCTCTCTCCTAGGGAAAGGAATAGGCCTCTTCCCCCGAGTGAAATTCCATGGTTCACTGCAATTTAGATTGGATTTCCAGTCTACAACACCTCTTATATGTACCATAATGCCACAGTAACACAAGGTAGGTTGTGCCCTTGCATTTCCTCACAAGGACATCTCACAGGTGATGTGTTTCCCCTCTCCTTTTCCCCTCTTGTGGAGCAAAGAGAGGCATTAGAGCATTATCATCTTTAGACTGAACGCATAGGGTGGCAGCCCTGCAGGCTCAGCTGTAATTGTGGCCTTCTTTCTGACAGGAGCCTGTGACTGGCAACTGATTAAAACAATTCAAAACCTATTTTTCCCAACTAATGTATTTCCATTTCTCCAAAGATAAACAAGCAGAGAAAGGAATGTAAACCACTACAGATCTGCATGCTGGGGTCTTTATTATGGCACATCCCCTCCCTCCATATTGGTTACACCCGCCATCTGAGACATGCCCAAGAGCCTCTGCCGTGGTCCCACAGCTTCCTATTTCAGTCTCTCCTGACGGCACAAGTTGTTTAGGTGTCTAAACTCCCAACAGGATTCACATTCTTCTGCCCATCTCACCTACAAGCAAGGACTGCATTAGCACTGCAGTCACCAGTCTTCCTCATTACATCATGGCCTACACCCCAATATTCTCTACTAGCTGGGGCCTGTGTGGTGTTCCTCGCCTCCCATCCTCTTTCTTCACACTGGCATCACCCTGGATGTGGAAGGATCATTAGATGTGTTCTGGGAAGGTAGTATTTTTGCCAGAAGAGGCAACCTATACAAGTAAGGTTTCTACCCATACCTATAAGCTGTCATCTGCATGAAAACTGATTTTCTTATTTATCCCATTTGTGTCTTGTATTAAGGCAAAAGACATGTAATTAGCATTTCTTTCCTAACCAAATCTACAGAATGCCATTTAAAATCACAAATATATTTTTTTAGCAAGTGACACCTCAGATTGCAACTAAAAGAGATAGGAGACAAATGTTTCAGTTCCCAGTTTATATTGTATATTGGACAGCACTTTGTGTTCAGTAGATTTCGCTGATTTGAGTATATTTGTTTGTATTAACTCTTGATGAGCAAACAACTGTCAATATTTCTATAGAGAACCATTACACTAAAAAAATCTTGATTTTAATTTCAGCACACTAAAGAACCAATAATGAGCAGTGAATTCACAATTAAAAGGAATTTGTGTAGAGTACATGTAGCATGTCAACCACAACCCACTCATCCTTAGTGTTCTACATCACACGACGAAATGGAAGTAATAAACATCCTCAACTTTCCTTCTCCATTTGTTCTCCAATTGCTGCCCATTTTCCATTACCAAATGAAGCCCCTCCCAACAAACCCTCCCAGAAAACACAGCTACGTATCTTTCATGGGCCAGTTTCATCACACCTCCCAGTTGTGCCTCTATCCCACCTGACGGCCCACTCTTCAGATGTTTGCTACTCTTTACTCCATATCAGTTTTCTTTTGGACTTTCTCCACTGCCCAAGTGATTACTAGCTTAGCTGTTGAACCCAAAAAGTTGGTTGTGGATGACATGGATAGTAATGTTGGTAATGCCCCGAATCAAGAGGCATATCACCAAAATAGAATAGATTGGCCAGTTATAACTGCTAAGAGATGCAGTTATAACATACTTAAAAAAATTTCATCCTTAATTTTTGTCTGTTTTTCATTTTTGAAATGATGTTGGGGGGGGTCGGTAGATTATGTATGTGTCAAAATTAATGTTACCAAATCTCCCAAATATAGTCCTTTTAGCCTGTGCTGCAGGAATTCTCATCTCTACATTTGCCTGTCTCCCTGCCCAATATCTAATTCTGTTCCTTAACTTCTAAATCAATTCTGGCTCCCAAGGCCCCATAACAATTCTCTTTGCCACAACTGTTCAACCCACCCCCAAGTCCTCATACCTGTTCTGCTTCTAGGGCAGTTCCATCCCCATATCCCGCCTCTCTTCAATTCTACCCTACATCTGCTCAGTCAACCTGCTCTCACTCCTGTTCTGTCATCCCCCAACATCCTCTTGCTGCACCTAGGCCACTCCCAGGCCTCGGTGGGTTGTCAGGCCAGATGTTGCTTATAGGAAAGGAAGTAGTAATATTGCATCTGGTCTTTCTCCTCTGCTCTTCCTCTACCCCTTCTGTGTGACTGCTTCTGGTTTGAGGAGACTTCTTGTAATTTCCCTAATTAGCTGTTTTAACCTCAGATTGCCTAGTGGAAAGGTATCCAAAGAGGGGGTTTCCCTAAAGTGAGCTGGAAGAGAAAGAGCAGGGGAAGTCTTGTGAGTTGGTTTAACTCCTTAGCATGCAGATCATGAGGAAAGTTTCTGGCAATCATGAGACAGGTTAACCTGGAGCTAACTCTTAAGAAAAGTCCTGATGTGCTCCACGTGTCAGTGGCTGGAAGCTCATCCTCATCCCTGGCACACTAAGTGAAAACTTGGAATCCTTATGAAAAAGCCCACTCCCGGCTATTATTCACATAGGAATTAACCAGTTCTCCAAGTCATAAAGAATGAAGTTTTCAGTTTTCAAATAATCGTATATATGACAAACTGCATCTTTATGTAACCTAACAAATGACCTTCTACTGCTCTTTCCCTGTGGCACTCTGCATTTTTTTGAAAGTATTACATTTTTGTATTAAAGATCCAAAGTTTGTCATGGGGGTGCCAAGGTTGTGGTGTATTGAATGGGCTAGAATGGACATTTTTGAAGACTTCTTTGGACTAAATGAACACTACATGGTTGCTAGCAATCACAGAAGTCTAGACTCAGTGGTCCTTTCCAGTTCTACGTGCCTGATGAATTTATGCAGGCATTTATTTCTCAATCAGCAGCCATTACATAGAATATATTAGCGTGGAAATAAACATTCCTTATATACTATAATTTAAAATTACTTATACTGCAGAATTGCAGTAGATACTGTAACATTGGAAAGAATAAGAAACTTTAAAGCATTAAGTAGGTAAGTACACTTACCAGGGAATTTAACAGCTTGGCAGTAGATGACAAGATCTGAAAGCTCTGGTGCTATCTGTCTACTTTCTTTCTTATTTTGTGGAAGATAAAATTCTTCATCCAATTCCATATCATAAACCTAAGTGACAATTCAAACGATGCATAATATGAAAATTACTGAAAATTAAAAGTATTTACCACACCTGATATATGCCCACAATGTTTTTGTCATAGTCATCACATATATATTATCACGTAATGGATCTAGGTGTTTATTAGGGCTGTTCAAAAATGGCACTGTTCCATTTCGACTTGCATTTTGACATTTCCGCGGAACACTATTTCGTATTTTGTTTCAATTAGAAACCGCTGTTCCGTTTAATTTGTACTGAAATATGTACTGAATATGCTGTTTTGACGTTTTGCCCATGGGCTATAATGGGGAAGCTCAAAACAACCTATAACTTTGTCATTTCTGGCCATATTTGGATGCAGCTTATGGGAATAGTAGCCCCTTTTGAGGGCATGCAGTCTACCAAGTTTCAAGGAGATAGGTGCAGGGTTTTTGGGGAAAACTGCACCTCAAAGTCTTGAAAGCAAAACTCATGTTACGTGTATTAAGCCACAGTGGGGTCAAAACTGCAGGGATGGTAGCCCCTGCTGAGGCCATGAAGCCCACCAGCTGTCAAGGAGACAGGTGCAGGGGCTCTGGATTCTGGGGCCCTGCACCTCTAGGTGCTGACAGGCAAAACTGGAACACATAGCTCAGTAACTGACACCAAGGCAGAAAGCAGGGCAGTTCAAACAGTGCTGCCTTTTATGCAGTTTTTCCATTCCTCCCCCAGAGCACTGGGATTGGAAGGGACCTCAGGGAAGGATCACAGTCATCGGCCAGCTACACAGTCAATAATGAAAACACCCCTTCCCCCCTCTTCCCCCTCCCTCTCCTTACTTTAGTTTCTGTTTCCCTGCAGGCAAGCCCAGCTTGAGCTTTGCAACTCAAAATGTTTTGAAAATTTGGAAACACTTTGACTTGCCTCGTTTTGTTTCGAGGCTGTTTCAAAGCTCTCCGTTTCATTTTGATTTTGCTGTTTTGAGCTCTAAACGACTCAAAACAGTGTCAGAACGAAACTGCTGGTGAAATTTCACACAGCTCTAGTGTTTATCTAGTTCTCTGTGACTACATTTGTACTACAGCATAGTTTCTCAACCCATGGTATGTGTACCCCTGGGGGCACGCAAGACACAGGCAGGGGGTACGCAGGAGCGGAAACCCCCTGCAGCAAGGGGGCGCCACTGCTCCCCCTGCCACTTCTGGGTTCATGTCCCGCCGCTCACCCCAACCCCCAAGCCAACCAAAGGCTGCTTTTAGGAGTGGGAGGGTGGGCACACAGATACCCGCACACTCCCCACCGACAGGCAGGTAAGTTTTCTTTCTTTTTTATTCTTTTTTATTCTGGGCTTTGGGAGGGGGCAGACTGAGAGCCCCAGAGTGTAGGAGGGGCAGGGCATTGCCCCACTCCCTCCTGCACTGTGGGGACTGGCCCCATGACCCAGCCTGCCCAGGGCCCAGTTCACTGTGGACGGGAGGGCTGGCAGTGGCACTGGGCTCTTCCCAGTGCTTGGGGCAGGCTGTGGTGATAGGAGGGGGGATTCTCACTGCCCACCCAGCACCACTGCCACTGAATGCGGGGAAAAGCCCTGTGCTGCCACCAGCCTCGCCTGTAGTCAGCCTGGGCTCTGGGGCAGCTGCAGCAGGCAGCAGTTAGGCTGCAAACAGCTGCACCAGGCTCTGCAGCCCCAGCATCAGCTCCATGCCTGTGACTACATGTGCACCTCAAATCAAAGATCAAGTTTATCCCCGCTCTCTGCTCTGATGTGTGTGTTGCTGATGCTGGGGCTACAGAGCCCGGTGGAGCTGTTTGCAGCCTGCTTACTGCAGCTGCTCCAGAGCCCAGCTGGCTACAAACAGCTGTGCTCGGCTCCTGAGCCCCATCATCACCTCCATGCTGGCACTGACTACATGTGTGCCTGAGAGCAGACAGCAGGGGCAAACCTGTTCTCTGCTTTGAGAGGCATGTGCAGTTGCTGGAATGGAGCTGATGCCAAGGCTGTGAAGTCCGGTGCAGCTGTTTGCAGCCTCCCTACTGCAGCTGCCCAGAGCCCAGGCTAGATACAGGCAGTGCCGGTGGTGGCACAGGGCTTTTCTGGGCTGTGCTGCCTCAGATCCCCCTCCCCCCTGCCATATGCTTGGAGCTGCGGGATGCTGGAGCAGCTCCTTTGCAGCCTCATGGCTGCAGCCAGCCCAGGCTCTGGCTAGATGTGCCAGCCACAGAGCCCGGGTTGCCTGCAGCAGGCCTTGCAGTCTCCCAGCCACCTACTGGGAATAGCCCGGGCTCCATGGCTAGCAGTGGAGTGCCAAGCAAAATGACTTCACGTACCATGCTCATTAGCATAGCTTGAACATTTTCTTAATTTCCTTATTAGTGTTTCTGCTCCTTATTGTGTTATTAAGGCTTGAAATATTTGGGAGCTTTGCAGCGAAGGCTAATCAGCGCATTGGAAACCCTTCCCAGGCTCGCACTGGGCTGGGCACAGTGAGCATGATTGGCTGGTTACTTTCAAGCCTTGATCTGGGCATGGAGGACTGCTGGGTCAGCTGGGGTTTTGCTGTGGGCCTGGGAACAACAGCCCCCACAACCCCCCAGAGCTTTTGCAGCTAAAATGAGGCCACACTCTACATCTCAAGTAGACTGTGGGCCAGTCTCTCCTGGGAAGTGCTCAGTGCCCTCACATGTGAGTTATTTGCAACAGGGCAAAGCCCTGGGAACAGACTGTGGGGAGTAGTTCTGTGCCAGGCCCCCAGGGATGGCTTTCACCATGACCTCATAGGCCGACACCTGCCCTACAGACTTACCTCACTGCGTCACGGCCTCTGCTTCTCCCTATCACCCCAACCACCTGCCTGCTCCGCAATTACGGTTGCTACCTGTCCCCTCTCTCTCCCCCCTTCCCTCTTTCCCTTCACTCTCCCCACTTCCCTGTCTCGCTCTCTCTCTCTCTCTCGCCCTGTATCCTTGTCTGTCTCTCTCTGTCACCCTCTTTCCCTCTCCCTCTCTCACCCCTTTCTCCTCTCAAAACTATGGTAAAAATATTGGTGCAATGCACACTGCGCAGCGCTTTAAATTCCCCAACAATAATTTGGCATGCTATGCTTTGTGCAACACTGGGTTCAGCCCTCCTAGCTTTGGCCAACATCACCTCTAGCCCAGGTACATTCTTGAGCACCCCTGGTGTAAAAGGTAGCATCCCTACCCACACCAGATCAAACATCTGTCATATCATAGCCTTATATATGCAGCCCTTCTTCCAACATATGGCACACATTAGTCTGTAAATATAAAATCCCCTGGAAAATTGAGTGTTGGGGTACTTATTAAAATTTTCAGAAGTTAGGGGGTACTTGCTACTTAAAAGGTTGAGAAAAACTGTACTACAGTGTGCTCATATTGGTTATATGACATCTTAAATACACAATCTTGAGTAAGAGGATTGATATCCTATTTATCTTAGTAACTTCCCTTAGATTTAATGTTTGATTGTGCCAGGGAACACAGCACATACCCGTACAGGTTACACATCTTGGGCTTCATCTTGTACAATTCAGGTATGGGATACTATATGTATAAATATGAGGTACAAAACATGACTGCAGCAAAATGTGAACCTGCATTAATGGCACTTCTGCTGTGCAATAGTCAAGCACCAGATTTCCAAAACTGGTTAAGTACTGAAATATGCAGAAAAGTATCTAACTCTGTTTAGACACCTAATCCCATTTATTTCAGTGGGAGTTAGGTGCCTAAAAAACTTCAGATATCTCGGTCCTAGTGGATCTCTCTCAAGGGAGACTTAGGTACCTCATTGGTTTTGAAAAGGCCATTAGGAATCTCTTTACATCTTAGCCACCTAAATGACTTTAAAAAACCTGGCTCCTAATGATGTACACCTATTAACAGAAGTGAGGTCTGAGTGCAGAATGTGTAGCAACACAGCTCATTTGCATCCTGAGGACAAGGCTGTAGCCCATGTGTCCCCAGATATATGAATTATCCATGCACACCTACTTCAGCTGCTGTGGCTGACCACTAAGCACTACACAAGCAGTTACAGAATGAAGGCCTTACATTATATATAAAGAAATTGCCATTTAGGAGCCTGAAGCAAGCCTGTCCCTCCAAAACTTTATTTTTAGCCACCTCTGGTACATGCTTATTAGCAAATTCAATCAGCATGAAGCGGCAGTGCACACATGCTACTTATAAAGACAAACGATTTATTTCCTAAAGCCGGTTTCTCATTTATTAATTTGACAAAAAGTGAGAGTCCATTGTTCCAGCGTGCAGGTAACTTGTGCCACACACACATGTGCAGAGTTGGGAGTTCAACTGGAAGGGCTGATCTTCAATTTGAACTTGATGCAGTAATTTGGAGTGTGCGTTTTCCTTTATTAACAAGAGTGATTTATCTCAGTGCCACCCAGCCTTACCACTCTCATGAGATGGACAAGTAGTGCAGGCCGGTCTATGAACTGGATCCCTCATAAAATCAGCACATGAAGTCAGTCCATGGGTGCAATCCAGCATGCTGATCCAAACCCATGAGCCCAGATCGGGCCACGCACTGGCCCAACCTCATACGATGGCCCAATCCCATGTGCCAAGATCCTGCTGAGTACCAGCTTAATCCCGAGCACCCAGATCCAGCCGTGTGCTGGCCCAACCCCAAGTGTCTGCTTCTGGCCACATGCTGGCTCAGTCTGGCCCATATCATCTCAACTGTGGGGCTCCCTATGGTTCCAAAAATTTGGCTGCAGAGAAGCAGCTATTAATGCAGTCACTGCTCCCCACTGCCAAATTTCCATACCTTTGGGGAGCCCCGTAAGCCAGATCACACAGTTCTATAGGTTGGATCTGGCTAATGGGAGTGGGGATTGAGCACCCTGATACATGCTAACTGTCCCTGGAGTTATGTGTAACCACTGAGGAGAAACTAGCCCCATCTGTTATAATTCTGGTGCTTATCATTCAATGCTAGAGAGATAGTGTCAAAACTGAAAAAGCTTAGAAATGTAGCACAACATCTGAAAGAAAAGTCCATAGAAGGTAATTTTTAACTGAGCAAAAATAATAACAAAAGTGCTTTTTTTAAAAAAAGGAAAGAATATTTTGAAATATATTAAATATTTTGAATATATCTGGAAGACTCAGAAGGGTGGGAAACTAAGAAAACGCAGCCTTCAGGGGACAGTAAATGTGCAAAGAGATATCTACACAGTTCAGCAAACTCTCACAATAAGAACATGCATCGAAATGGGCTGTGAAAAAAGGGGATGAATCAGCTGAAATAATGAGAAAAGAATACAAGCAATCTTAAACACGAAGTCCTTACAGTTTTGGCTGGGTTTTTTATTGCTACAAATAAGCCAAATTGAACGCTTTCTCTTAGTCCGTAGGGAGGGCCCCTGAAAAGCTGGGCCAGGAGCAGACCAAGAATCCATTGTGACTGAGTCACAACTTGCTTTTTGGCTCCCCTCTCACCCCATGGTGGCACAGCTCTGCTATCCCCTGCAGTGGAGAGGTAGAACTAAATGGAGAACAGAATTGGACCTTCATTACTTACACAATGTCCTTAATATTTTTTTAATTACCTTTTAGCAGTTTCAGCAATTATTTTCATGCTTTTTAATTCTTCAGTAGAGTCACTGCTACTATCAGCTATCTTGCCATTAGTACAAGTAACTATGGGTAGGTCTAAACTTCAGGCTGTACTGTAGAGATAGCCAAGCTAGTTTTAAAAGAGGTACACTCATGCCAGAAGCTGGCTTGATTAAAGCTAATGGAAAGATTCTCACTGATTTCATGTGGACACTGGGTTGCAGCTTCTAAAATGGGTTTGCCTATTTTTATTGCTGATGTGTGAGGGTATGGTCTGTTTGTTACACCTAAAATAACTTCTGAACCTTTTTTGCTAGATATTTGGTCCATTAACTTTGTTTTCTCCAGCATGGTTCTTTTCTTTTAGCTGTTTGTCTATAAAAAGTACATTTGCAATCTGATGGCTCAGGCCATACCCAGGCATCACATGTATAGTGCTAAATACACCCTTGTAGCATTGCAAAATATGAGTGAACAGCTATTCAGGCTGTTTGTAGTGCTACAAAGAGGACAAAAGTACTACAAAATGTTACCTCTTTCAAAAAGGAACTTTTTGGTAGTGCTACATTTTGTAGTGCTATGAGTAATGCCATGTAGCACTGCAGGGGTCTGTAGGCCCCCCCAGTATCCCACAGTCACCTACTCTCCCTCCATCCTTCCTTCCAAGGGGGAGCAGCTGGCTCTCTGATAGTCTGCCTGGAAGTGAGCTGGTGGTGGGAAGAGCCAGGGCTCCTACAGCCAAGGCAGCAATTCCTCTTTCTGCTTCAAGAGTCCCAGGATGATTGCAGCTCTTGGGCTGTGACAGAGCCACTGCTGAGCAGTGGAGCTGGCAGCAGCAGCCGCATGGCTGCCCAGCTCTCCCAGTCAACTGATTTGTGGAGCTGGGCAGTGGTGGCTCTGTCACTGCTGCAGTTGAAGCTTTGCTGGGTATAGTAGTTGTACAACTGCCCAGCTTTGCCAATCACCAGATCAGTAGAGCATGCAGGCAGCTGGTTAGGGGGGAGAAGAGAAAGGAGCAAGGGTTAGCAAATTCCCACTGCCAGAACAGTTCTCTTCACCCCCGCTACTTCCACAGGTACTGGTGGCTGTTTTTGGCAGCTGTTACTTTTCAGAAGCTGCCAGCTGATCACTGACAGCCTGCCTTCTTCCCTGGAGTGGAGAGGGAAGGGTGACTTCACTGTGGGCAAGGGGACCCAAGAAGCAGCCCCTTTTGCTCCTGACTGAAGAGCTTGCTTTTGAGATGACTTTGTAACTCTCCAGCAAAGGAGCTGCAACGTCTTTACACCCCTGTCGGAACGCCTTTGCACCCCTGGCATGATATTTTTGTAGTGCTACAAAGAGACACATACCCAGTCATCTAAACAATCCAAAACCTCTTGAATTTGGTCTGTGTTCTGGGGAAAGGAATGGAAAAAAAAAAGGAAAAAGCAGTATTACCTTTCCTTTATTGCTGTAAGTAATGCAATCAGTCTTCTTTATTCTCTTGGCAATTTCTTCATTATATTCAAACTGTAGCTTATCCCCAGTTGACTTACTTTCAGGTCGGTCTTCCAGAATGTTATCTGTAAATTAACAGCATTTAATTAATAATTGATGTTTAGTTAACATTCAGGCAAATAACTTTGGCTGCTAATTTTAGTTCAACTAACATGATATTGAATAAAGCTCCTAATGACACATCTGATTATCTGATGGCAAAAGAATATATTCACTGGTCAAAGCATTTCTCTGTCAGTGATAATATTCTGTTTTTAAAAATGTAGTTTTGTTTTTCTTGGCATGAAAGTTTCTTCCCTGTCTTTTTTGTTCAGTACAGGTTAACCACATAAAACCATTTCATAAACCATGAAATAAAGCAGTTCTAGGTTTTCTTTTGGCAAAGCAAGAAGCCAAACTATTGGCTAGCCATCTAAATTAAAAGGCAATATTCTTGAATTGTAGAAATTCAAATTTAATTTAGTTACTACTCAACTATCTTAAAGTTAGCTTTACATTCTATATTTTGTTTTTCATCCCCCTGTCAGTTAGCACACACATGCACACACACATAACCCCTTTCTGATACAGCTGAAGCATTCACCTCCAAGGAGAAGAGTACCTCAAGTTTTTGTAAGAAACTTAGCCTAATTGATTGATTTGAGTGGAATGATTTAAAGTAATGGAAAACTGTCCCAAAAGGAAGTATTTTAAATTCACTCTAGATGTATAGTATGTCATATGTGCCCTGGTAGCTTATTAGAATATAAATGCTTTCTAATGCAGGTCCCTACCTTATGAAAATATTTTACCACATTTTGTATTAATGAAAACAAGGAACCATGTAATAACACTATGCATTTGCAGTAAGTTGGAAATACAGTGTTAAATCCATGCAGTTAAAATGCTCAACCAAACGGCCTTTACCTTCCTGGCTGTTAGGAGCAGGGGAAGCATTAAGGACATCAGCTATAGGAAGAGTCAGAAAGGGAATAAGAATAAAGGAAATTAAGAAACACAGCGAAAGAAATGAAAATTAAGTGTCAGTTGTAAAATCAGAAGCATTATGTAAAACTACAATACTTGTTGAAAATAAAAAAATCTCCCAAAGTTTTCAGACTATTATTTAGATTAGTTCTGCCAGGGATTATTGTAATTTAAAATAACAAAACCAAAAGGGTAACCATTATAATAAAGCAGTAATCCATGCACAGGTTACCTTATCTAATGCACTGTGCAAATTTTTAGTTGTTGTTTCAAGTTTTTCAAAACTTCTCTTGACTAATTTTAGGTACTACTTAATGTGGAAAAGTTGTAAAATTTTCCTGGCCAGTAAATCAGAAGCATCTACGTCTGACCAGCATATTTTTGCTTATGTCCCTTACAGATTCTTCCCCACAGGAAGAATCCTCAAGTAACAATTTAAGTTGGCTTTCTAGCTGCCTCACTGGAGCAGGCACTAGAATCTCACCCATAATTAACTTAAATGCAGCAGTGAACAGAGAAATGATTACCAAGTCTGCTTATTAAATTGATTTCTTTAGCATCTCTATGAGAGAAACAAAGAACTATTTAAATAAAGGTTCTATTGTGCCAGCTGAACTGTGAAGAGAGCTGACCTGGTAAACTTTCTGAATTTCACCAGTTGTATGAAGGCCAGGCATCACAGGACCTTAGTTTTAATAAATAAAATATTTCAATCTTTTGCTGTATGTCTGGGTGGTATGAATTTTGCAGCCAGTTGTGATATATCTTTGTATGACACAGTTTCTGATAATGTCTGAAATCAGTAGCTAATGCCACTTCTGAACGTCTTGGGCTAGAACATCCCTAGTGAAATTTAACTTACCTTAGGGACATACTCAGTCCTTCTCTGACAAGTATCTTTAAAGTGGTCAGCAGCAGCAGCAAGCACTCAGTAAAATGACACTCTGCTCCTGCTCTGAAGACTGTCTGTAAAAACCAGCTTAATTGTTGGCTACCACAACTAACCCATTAATACAACAATCATTAGTTTGATTTCTGGATGCCAGCAATGTGAATGCCAAGAAAATGGCATGTTTAAGAGACATTTGGACATTTAGGCCTAGATTGTGACTATAAACCATCTGCCCTGGAGAAAAGTCTCCAGGTTACTGCACTATCCTGTGGTGGTGCCAGGTCTATGTTTCAGTTTTTGACTGAGGCAAACTTCACTGATTTAAAGATATAATGGAACATATGGAAAACTGTTACAATTGTGCAATTAAAAAATTCACAAACATAATTACCATCTGAGAGAGATTCATAGTCATAGTCATATTCATCCTCTTCATCCTCCTCCTCTTCATTAGTTGTGGGGTTAACAACATTAGCACCATTACTAGCCTGTGCTTGCATGTATGCCAGTTGGTGTGCCTATAGCATCAGAGTAATTAAAAAAAATCATAAATATTTCTAAAAATTAAACTTTCTGTTATTTGCATGTGTCTTATTTTTCTTATATGATAGATAATCTGATTTTCTGCTTTCCTAGGAGGGGAAAACAGACTGTCAAGAGCAAGATAAAATACCATACTAAAAATTACTTAAAATACCATAGTAAAAATTATACTAGTATAACAGG